AGTCTTTTCATTCAGTACTGACTGATTCATGTAGCTTACAGGCCAGTATAGTTCACTTGCTGTCCCGGTCTTAACCCCATGATGTATATAAAACTGGCCGTCTGTAGAGTGGGTCACATATTGCTGGGAATGATGACAGTTTGGAAGTTAAATCATGGCAGACGGTCAAAGGTCACCCTTGAACTTTGGTCCCCCTGATCAGACAACACTGAGGCAAAATCTGTCCGCTAGAGTGTCAAGGTCAAAATAGGTCACCCCTAAACCTGAAAATCGTCTATCTTCTAGTCATTAATGACATAAATGTGCACGTAATCAGAACGTGGTATTTCAATGCCAAAGTTATGTCTAGTTGGGAAAACTGGAAAGCCTTCTTTTTGTACAGGATAGTTAAAAATTCCATTAGCATGATTCCGTTTTACACAACTTTACTTCTGTCATAAATGAATAGGTATATAGATATATTGAATCCAAGTCTGATAGCATTTTGCAAAGTCTTAGTGACCTTATAAACTTTCTAATGATTAATGCGACAAAATGAAACGTATTTAGACTATTATTCAAACTGGTCTAGACTAAAACAGAAACAATCAGAGCCTGGAAACAGTCGTCTGACAGAATTAACAGGTGTCGTCCGGGTACGTTTTGGCGGGAACAAAAATATGCAGACGGTGTTCTTTGAAGGTGGATGTGATTATGATGATATTGCGTGAGACATTTTACAAACATGAAACTTCAAATCCAAAACAAGAGATCAAACGCGGAGGGGTTTAACTACCAGGTGTTCACATGGTGGGAACGGGGAAAATATCGTCTGCGTTTCCATGGTGACGATTGTGACGTCATACCTTCTCTCACCACAATTTGACACATTTTCCAGTAGGATGAATTCATTTAAAAATCAGATGCTTCTTTGGACAGTCAAATACGATGTTAAGAACAGAAAATAAGACATAAGTCTGAAGTGAAGAACGAAGCAGCTGTTCTTTGTTACCACTTTGCGTATGCTCGCCCCCCTCCCCCTTCACCCCAAGGTCAACAAGTAAGGTCGTATATTTCGAAACGAACAGCGTTCTAAGACAAAAGCGAATGAATAATGATGAATAGGCCTGAAAGTCGCCTGTTTCATGTACTTGAATTGTTGCTATTTTGCGTATGCTCAAGTTGCTATTTTGCGTTTACCCAAGGTCAGTGGCAAAGTCATACACTCAGAAGCGAACAGCATTCTAAGACAAAAGAGAATCAGTGCTGATGAATAGTCCTGACAGCAGCCTGTTTTATGTACTTTAAAATTGTTGCTCTTTTGGGTATGCTCACCAACCCCCCCCTCCGCCCCCAAGGCCAACAAGGTCGTACCATTGCCCTTAGCCCTACATTTTGAAGAGAACAGCGTTCTAAGACAAAAGAGAATCAATGCTGATAAATAGGCCTGACAGCCGTCTGTTTTATGTACTTAAAACTTGTTGCTCTTTTGGGTATGCTCAAGGCCAACAATGTCGTACCAATGCCCTTGGTCGTACATTCAGAAGCGAAAAGCGTTCTAAGACAAAAGAGAATCAGTGCTGATGAATTGGCCTGACAGTAGCCTGTTTTATATACTTGAATTGTTGCTGTTATGCGTATTGTTACCCCCCTCCCCCTTCACCCAAGGTCAGTGGCAAGGTCGTACAATTAGAAGCGAAAAGCGTTCTAAGACAAAAGAGAACCAGTGCTGATGAATAGCCTGAAAGCCGCCTGTTTTATGTACTTTTGTACTTGACTGTTAGGAGGAGTTACCCCCCTCCCCCCTTCACCCAAGGTCAGTGGCAATGTCATAAATTTAGAAGCGAACTGTTCAACAGCGTTCTAAAAGACAAAAGAGAATCAGTGCTGATGAATTGTCCTGCCAGCCGCCTGTTTTATGTACGTGAATTGTTGCCGTTGTGCGGGGCTCGGGATGCTTACACAGCCGGGTGAAGACGTGTGACAGCAGGGTTAGTGTCGATGACAGACGGGCTACAAACGGTATTGTACTCAACATCGGTACACGTGCCCGGGCACTAAATCTCTGTATATATGTAGTGAACGTTAACTCTGATTCAAACAGTGTGTTTGAGCCATATATATTGACGAATTGTTGTTTTTGCTAGTCTCATGTGGAGAGACGCATTTTAGTAGGGGGACGGGGGGACGAAGGGTTTATAAACTCGTAAAACACTTTTTGATGGTGAATGTTACATGTATCACCTGATTGACGATGTATATATGGTCTATTTCTAATAAATGGATAATAAATACTGTGTGTGACAGATATGGGCTAGATTTGCAAACAAATGCTCAAGCCTTAAAGCATTTGCATATTTATCCAAGGGTTTTGGACTCAATATCTTTTCTTCGCCCTGACAGCCCACTTTTCTTCTAAAACAAATCGGGCAACAAAAGTCGATCTCCAGGCCTGGGGAAGGTCAGGGTCTGTTCAACATATCGTCTGCTGCTGAGAAGGAACACATCTGTGGAACCTAGTCGGGTCAGGGACGAGATGGGGAGGTAAACATGGGAACGAGGGAGGGCAGCCATGTTTTATATAGTGTGTACGACGGCGTAGCAGGTTCAGAACTAGTATGCCCTGATTATGATGTGTGTATGTGTGTGGGTCTCTCTTTCGCTGTCTCTCTCTGTGTCTCCCTCGAGCTCTCTGTCTCCCTCTCTCTCCCCCCTCTCTCTCTCCCTCTCTGTCTCTCTCTCTGTCTCCCTCCCCTTATCTGTCTCTCTCCCCCTGTCTGTCTCCCTCGAGCTCTCTCTCTCTGTCTCCCTCCCTCCCTGTCTCTCTGTCTACCTCTCTCTCTGTTTCTCTCTCTGTTTCTCTCTCTGTCTCTCTCTCTGCCCCCCCTTCTCTCTGTGTTAATGCTACTTTTCAAAATATTCTGAATCAAGGACAATGTCATCTTAGATATTTAGGGTATTTATTAATATTTTGTGCCACACAAGGATCATCTATCATAATAGGTCTTGACCCCACCTTTAGAAACCCTGAACACTTGTCTTTCGCTGCTTTACATTGACTTGTGCACTAGTTGCAAGGGTGACTCGTAACTCTGTGGCCAGTCTGAGATTTAGACTGTTTATTTGTGCGAACTGGACAGACGTCCACTTGTTACTGTCGTAATTCGAAACATTTGGTATTTTTCTAACACCGATTCTTCCACCTTTCACCCCTACGAACATGCAATCGAATCAACTTTAATGAAAAGCACATTAACTCCAACGGTGTTAACATGTTGAGTGCCACCGGGCTAAATACATCCCTTCAAATCATCAGTGATCTCTAAAGGTGGACCTAGGGAGGTTTGGGTCTAGAATTGAAGCTAAATTACATCAGAACTAAAAAAAAGACAATACTTGTAGCAGACAAAATAAATAACAATAAAATAACCTTAACAAGCCATAGTACTTTGTGACAGAAGTAAAAAGGGCGTCATTTACATCCGGGTATATCAATCTCCTGGTCGTGACGGGGGACGATATCGACTTCCAACGAACTTTGACCCATTGCTGACGTCACGCGTGACCAAACTCACGTGATATTAGCAATTTTGTAATTCAGTGGAAAATTTCGGTTTCAATTATTTGAGTTGGAGTCTCAGTCTAAAGTCTCTTAATATACTATTTCAAAATACTATATTTTTCGCTAGCATTAGGATATATCTCTAGTTTTTGTGCCTGTATCTAGGTACCACAGACGCAGTCCAACGTATGACCTACTATTTCTTATTTTCGACATCCCGCTGCGCCCCTCCCTTGTCCAATTAGACAGGATTTAGATAAGAAATCCGACAATGATATCTGAGATGAAACCGGAGAAATGGTGCTTAAGCCAGAATGTCAGACCCTGACACTGACAGCCTAGACCTGTCTCTCAGTCTGTGTCGATTTCATGGCCCGACCACAAACCACTCAGTCTTTCTCAGAAGGACGATGGAAAAGGAAAGGCTGAGATCAGCAAGAAGTCGTAACTAGAGATGTGATAGACTAGACACTACGCCTGAAGCTTGTAGTAAAGAATTTTAAAAGGTTATCAGCATTGAGAGATAATCGTCTTTAAGAGATGGATCGGATAACACACAGAGGCACTGTGTATATACACTTGACTCACTGCCTTACAAATAGACTTAACGTCAACAGAAATATAACATAACGTAAACACAAATATCAACACAAATATCGTTTCGATTGATATACATGTAAGGTCTGTAGTAATGAACAAAACTCGAAGTTCTGCTGCAATACCAGGGGAATCCGCCAGGGGGTCCAAAATCTTATAATTTCTTTGGTATGTTAAAGCCACATACATAAATCCCCACAAGGCAATGGTACCAAAAACATAACCTTCTAGGGGAGGATATAAAGCCCATATCACTTAATCAATCTCCAAGCAGATCCTACGTATATATACGCTGGCAACCACTAGCCTCTGGTGGCTAATGGCCACTCATAGTCTCCACCAGACTCCTTTGCAGTCTGAATAAATAGTAGAATTTGGCCTAAAAAAGAATGTAACTGGCCAGTGTTAGCCGGCCATAGATAGAGGGTCCAATTTTCGTGCAGGCAAACTGGACCCTCTGGGGCCGACCAACTCTCCTGGCTAATTTCTACTATTTATTCCACCTGCAAAGGAGTCTGTTGTCTTGTCTTGTCTTTCCTTTAATGCCCACGACCATCATACTGATCATTCTGGCATGCCAATTCTGGGCAAGACTCCGAATTGTAGAATTTGTACCATCGCACACCGTGGCATGCATGCCGCTACTCTTTTTCGAAAGGTGTGGTGGGTTCTTTAACGTGCGTGGGATGTGGCTCTCCCCAAACACAGGACCTCCATTTATAACGTCCTATCCGAGGGACGTCCCTAACCAAGGCTAGGTATTCATTTACACCTCATTTACACATTAGCTACCGAAGGCCTGTAGCCTTGCCTTGCCACCGTAGTATCTGCTTGGAGACACTTGAAGAGTACATGTACATACCACTGCGAGTCCCACGTCCTGCTCCCGTCTCTTGAGTGACGCTCCGTAGCAGGTCAGGATCAGACAGGCGCTGAAACTCAGCATGGTGCCGGCTACTAGGGAAACCAAACACGCCGGTCAGATGATGGATCGAACGGTGGATTGAACCAATGTCATAACATACACCGAATTGTGACAACTATCGTCTTTTTGGAAAGCAAACGGTTATCAAGAGTTTATCAAATTAAATGTCCTTTGGGCTGTTGGTTTATTGAACAATCGATTGGTTGTTTGGTTGGTTCTTTATAAACATAAAGAAGGAAAACATATTGTTTTTGCTCAGTTTCCTCTTCTCCAAACACGAAAGGTTAATGACCTGGGCCAGACAGTCTATCACCATGGTAACTGGTGTTGGGATACATCATGTTGCAATTTTATAGCAGGAGGGATTTAGACTACTGTCACCATATATGTGAATGTGTTTTAGTGAGAATTAACAGAGAAATGCCATCTACGCCAACCAACCTAACCTTATTGAGAGTTCTGAGAAACTGGTGATCTAGTGAAAGAAATCCAACCTGTTATGATATACATGTATAAATTTACTTTTCCTTGGTTTTCTACAGCAAACAAGGTTGAAGACGACTGTTCCAGGGTGGGGATTACTACTGACGTATTGGAGAAAGGATGGAAGACTTCTCAAGATAGGGTACCACTCACCAAGATGATGGTATTTATTTCGACAAATGCAGGGAAAGACCCTCAGCGTACATCGGACAAGAACCTGTCACGTAAGTCAAAGTTTTCACAAAAATACAAACTTTGCTTATGACCTCTGCCCTCACTTACGTACAGAGTTTTGATGGCCTATAACTATATATGATTCCAAGGTTCAGATACCAACTCGCAACACAGACATCATTCCTTCCTAGTGGGTGACTATTATATTCCTTTCACACACCCCTCCCCCACCTCCTGTCACCAAGGCAACAGCTTGGAATCGTCCACAGCGAGCTGAGGTAATTATCGTCTGATAGTCTCGTTCCCAGGGCACGTACCTCTGACCTTGAGGGTCACCGCGCGTTTAATTGTACAGCTGTTGGAGAAATTCCTTTGTCTCGTTCCCAGCACGACCAAGGAGAACATATTTGCACCAAGGAGACTTGCTGAGCGTCTTAAAACTCCTACAAATCCCTTCGGCACGTCTGAAGAACAAACGATTTACACTGTGTGTATTTGCCCGACAAATTGGACCTGTTAGAGCGATGTGGAGTTGTCTTGGCGGGAAAGTTGTTGGGGTTTTGTGGCTCAGGTGATGGGTAACAGGTATGCGCCAAGGACAAAGCCTACAATCCAGCTTAAAACGTCATTGCAGGGCCAAAAATTTCTCTAAACCATTAAAGGATCAGGGATTCTTGTTAGAACGTAGAATTCCAAAGGAGATGAATGCCAAATCCTTTTCATAACAACGTCTTGTGACACAAAATGGATTGACAGAAGTCTTTAAGGTGAACCACACCTATAGACCCCCCAACATACCACCAGATTTCGCAAACAGAGTAGAAGTATTTCTTCTTTGTGATAGTTTTAACCTCTCTCATTTTCCGTGCGCACCTGGACAATTATGTAGTATGCTTGTGTCGCCAGGGAAGCGATTGGAACTTTTGTTGGCTTTGCCTTTTCAGCGTTTGGTCTCAATTTGCACGGAAACCATTAAAATACTTTCTGTAGTCAGGGTTCGAAATTAAAGGTGGTCCAATGGCTATTGACCACTAAAATTTAGGCTGGGGCAACTAAAAGATACTTTGGAACATTTTGGGGGCAATAGAAAAATAATCAACATCAGAATGTCAGCCCTTCTTTTTTATCAGGCTCACATCCCGGCTTTTGGATCCGGAAAAGCCCCCTCCCCCCGAATTTCCTGTATACTCTACAATTATAGTGCACCTGGGAGTGAACATAAGCAAAATAAAGTTGACTTCAAGTTGACGTCATACAATACTTTCCGAAAAACAGATTGGGACAGTTCATCCTCACTTCGGGACAATTGAATTTTTTTGGGACAGTGCTGGGACAATATATAGGAAGCAAAGTTAATTTCGAGGCCTGAGAAACCATTAAAATAGTTTCTGTAGTACAAGGAAGACTCGAGCTCAGACAACATGAATGGCAAAGATACCTTGGTCTAATACACAGGGTTCAGAGCAATAGGCAAGCCGTAGGATTTTACTACGACACCCATGCAGCCAGTTAAAAAAGATAGTTCGTGCGAGACCTAATCCTCTCCATAAACCACCAAGTTGGATTTAATACAGTTCCTCTTAAACTCGCCTACCCGCTGGGTTTGGGAGCCCATTGTGTATAAATCTTGTCTCTGCTTTCTTTATAGTGTAAAAAAGTCGACTAGCTTTCCGTAAACTTTATCATTACAGGGCGGCATGTATTACAACCCTAATCGACGTACACGCATGACTTATTTTTCAGATGTTAGAGCCACACTGGTATAATTTAAAGATACCCCTCCTTCATTATGAGATTAGAGGCAATCTAGAATAGAACCTGTGATTATTGTCATTTGCGTTATCGTCTGCAGACATCTGAAACAAGTCTGGAAGTTTATTCTTACAAAACATTTCTTTTGTGATAATGAAGGTCGTTTTGCAGTCTCCTATTGTTGTTACCTTGTGCGTGGGAAGAAACTGTAGTGGATGACGTCTTGTTTTTCAACCTGTATCTAGATGTAGACGTAGGATTGGTCAGTGAGACACGGTGCAGACGATAGAGGAAGACAGGCTTTTGGCGGGAACATCAGACGTCATTGTCAGACGACAGAATGACACCACAGGCACACATAGCATAGCAGCTGACAAAGCAGTCGTAAAATTGGTTCGATATCTGGAGATACGGCCTACAAACCCGTATCTGAGGCTACAAACACATTCTTTAGTCACAGTCTGACAGAAAAAAGGCGGCAAATCAGCAAGCTTTCCTCACAGAATTGGCGGGAAATTGACTGCAGGCACTAGAACTAATTCGACTTTAATCTTTTCACTGAATTGCCCAATTACCAGATCTGTGACATTTATGTGAGGAAGTTATTGTCTCAAGGAGGTATTTCTACGGCCATCTGGCGGGAAATTGTCAGTTTTTGTGGCTTACACAGTCTTATCATGGCTGTGAGTCTTAGAAAAGGCGGGGTGTTAAAAGATTTACTTACAAGTTACTACTCAATTCAGACCACAGCGTTTGGCAGGGTTTACTGCCATGTGTTTTCGTAAGCAATGGCTGTAAATCTCATCAAATAAACTCATGTCGTATCCTGGAGAAAAAGACAACATGTCAGAGACACGGGCGATCTTTCGACACCGCATAGCCGTCGATTTAACGGTAAATAAAACGCCTGCCGACCCGGATTTCAGGTTCTACCACCGGGGTGCGAGGGAAAGCAGCACAGGCAAAGCCTGGCATGCGGACAGACCGCATTATCGCCGGAGTTTTGAGCGACGTTTTGAACCGCTTCCAAACCAACATTTAAACTTGCAGATGCCCTCTCTTGTTGCAGGGATTTCCAAACATCTGGAGAAACACAAGAGTTCAGAATTTCGTCCTGCGGGCAAGTGTGTTTGGCGGACCAACGGGGGACAGCTCTGCAGAAAAACCTCAGCCCGCTCACCGCCCGATCAGATCATGTGTTAACGATCTTTTAGGTGGTCTGCCTTTCATAAACTCGGCTTGACCTTTAAATGCAGGGGTCGAGACCCCTCCGAAGACGGAGCGGACAGAAGTGCTTGAATATTTCCTTTGTTTGTGGCACGTTTTCTTAAACGGTCGTCTGACGGCTAGGGACGCGCTGGACGCCAGGTGACGGCCGAGTGACGCCGGCGTCATCTGTCACCCGCGTCCATCCTCCCTCGGCGACACCTGGCTACATCCGGGGTACGGGGGCAACATGGAGTCGTTCTTTTTCTACTTCAAGGTCATTGACAGTAAACGTAGCTCTAAAATGTTACTTGAGCAACACAAGGGCGTTGAAGGGGAATGCAATATTCTAAAAATGCTACTTTTCCGGTTCATATCTTATTTTCAATCTGCACAAAGCAATAGAACTCATTAGAACATAAATGCTCACTGCCTGCCAAGTAGGGCTGTATTTCAAGTTCATGGCTCAAGGTCGGTGACCAAGTGCATACCAGTGAAAGAAGTGAGCCAGACACGATTTGGAGCACGATAGCCGTTCAGGACGATACAGCGTCTAGGAGAGATCTTGACAAAACGATGTTGCCACGACCCCAGAATCTATCCCATAGTTACGGCAAAGCCTTCCCTTAAACATTCCCACTCTGTATACGCAGCTGAGTTTAGGACGTTTGTCTGGGAGACCAGGAGCCTCCCGGCAACCCCCTGGCGCGTGACGGGCGCGGGCGAGACCTTGCCCGAGTGGCCGGACTTCCCGGCCGCCTTGGTGCGAGTTCTCGCCGTCGGCGAATGTCAGATTCATTCATGCATCCACAGACCACGCACCCGCCCTTTTTTCCTCTCTTAGCCACCGAAGAAAAGCTTACTGTCGACTCGCTTAAAATACCTCGACACATTGTATCACAATGTTTGGGCGTCAAATGTATACCACAGGTATTGCCTTGCGGGCTAGTTGGGCCCGTGCCCGGTCTCATTTCGATTCCGGTGGCGACTGACGAAGTGAGCATTACAGGCGTAATGTACACACAACACCCGTGCTCCAATATGTTCTCAATCTCACCGTAATAATAACAAGCTTGCTAGACACCGAAGATGCGTTTCGTTGAGCACTACCGCTGGGCAGTGAGGATTTCGACCCACATTTCTGAACCCTGTGCTTTTATCTAGCAACGGTATAACTGAAGAAGCGAAGCGCTCTGTGGCATCAAATACAACAAAAGTAAAAGATGTTGACTTAGAGTAAGATTTACCTCTACTTGAATGGAAAGGGCAGAAAAGAAGAGGAATTTGGACAATCTTGGTCTGACTAGGTGAATCACGAGTGATTCTCAAGCAGACGACCTTACCTCACTAAGTCCACCGCTCCTGCCCCAGCCCTTCGGCGTTCAAACAATTCCACCAATCCCTTGCCAAGGCACGGGTCTTTGGCGCCTGGTGCTCGGCAAAGTTGTCCTCAAAATAAAACCTCCGTCCCTAGCAACAGCCCAGCTCCAGAGTCGGACGATTTAAAAATGTCGCTCTCTCCCGAGCTCGAGGGTCGTACTAAATGCTACTGTTGTGTTTAGGCTCTTCATGTCCCCAGTACGGGCTAGTTGCTGACAGGACGCGCATGCGTGGGCTAACCCCTCAGGGCCGCGGGAAAATTGACAGTGTCAGGCGAGAGTTTGATACAAGGATCAGATTGAGGGACTAGAATTCCTCTTCAGCAGACCCTATCATGCAGGCATTTGTTGTAGCTGTCAATCAAGCTAGGGCCGTGCCAAACGTGTACAGGGAGGGAAAAAGAAGAGAACAGACGTAAACAATCCTGTCCTAGAGTTACCTAGCTTTGACAGACGCTTTATGCATGAATAGAATGACCCTGGCCGAAGGATACATGTATGAGGTATCATATGGTAGCTCATACAATATGGTTTCTCTCATCTTGTTCTAAAACTTGTAAATGGCAGATTTACTGTCGAAACAAGTTCGACATGTAAGCAATTTGCAAACGTCCCTCAGACAATTCAACTGCCATAATTTTGCCTTCAAAGATCCCACCCCACAACTTTCAGTGCTACATCGTGCCTATACAGATACAGATAGAAGAATTTTACATAGTTACTCGTTCTACTCAATTGTTTTCCATCACTGTGTTAGAAGAATTGGTCTTAATTTCTGTCAGCCGTTCTTTATTTTTACTTCCACTCATCTCTAGAACATCTTGTAGTTAAGCCGTACACCTGCACATACAGACAATAATTGGTCCTTAACGTAAACCCATCTTCGCTATCTCTGGAACATCACAGGAATACCGAGAGCCTGACCCTCAGTAGGATTAAGATGACACCCATTTATTTTACACAGAGTATCTAATGACAGTTGTGTGGGGGTCGACGGCTCGCAAAACAACGGTCTTCTATATTCTATAGTCTTTAGTGTGATCGCCACATGTAAATCATTCCATACCATGTCCGTAGCCAGGGAGGGGTGACCCCCACTCCGTCGGGAGACCCCCCCCCCACACACACACACAAGGCTGAAAGGTCCACTTTTTTTTACTGATTTCTATCATCAGCGGAGCTGGAATCTTAGAAAATCTGCTCACTTTGTCATTGAATAAAAAGTTATTTCTGATTTTCCCCTTGAAATCCTATCAAAAATGCTGGAAATGCCATTTCAGCACTGCAGGTCCAATTTTCTAAATTTTCCGGGGGAGCATGCCCCCGCACCCCCTAGGAAACTTGCGCCTACAGCGCTCGCTGGTCCCTTAGATAGTGGGAAGACCCCCCCTCCAAGCAAACCCTGGCTACGGGCATGCATACTGAACAGTGGTTCTGTACTCTCTGTAACAGTTGGACTGAGGGGGCGGTCAAACAGGTGATCACTTGCTGCGAAAAAAAGACCGCCAAAGGCGAAAAGGAAAGAAATACAGAGATACACAGACAACAATGGTGACCCTTTGTCCCCTGTTAGTCTCTGTTGTGCATAGTCAGCAAATTAAAGTGTACCTGGGCCTACATGTAACAACAAGGAGGTTAAACATTCAACCTCCTTGAGTTAACAAGCATTCCTCTGTCGCCGTGTCTTATTGCGAAACTTCAAGGGTGGTCCTGCGTGTCTCTGCATGTCTTAAGACTTCTCTCCCACCTGTTCCGACTTGCAGGTGAACTTGACAGAGATTAATTGTCAAGAAAGTTGGTGGTCAGAGACCTTAATTGTCACAATCGCCCTTTTGTTTCTTCTGAATGTCTAAGAATGACTGGACTGCACGGGAGGTATTGTCTTCTTGGGGTAAACGTCTCTAAGGAATTCATTAGAAGGAACCCCAGCTCAGTAAATGTCAAGTTGATATCTTCACGCGCCCCCCCTCCCCCTCACTGTGTGGAAACCGAACCCCGGGCCATGATCCTTTGCGTCTTTCACCTGACCCGTGGCATGCTGGGATCGCCACATGTTTGCCCAGTAGTCCATCACATAGAACCGCCTGACGTTGTATATAAGAAAACTCGTTCAAGTTCATGGGGAGCCCTTCTAACGACCCCCTCCCTCCCCCCACCCTCTAGGCTTGGTCGTGCCCCACATATGGAGTGCCATTCACAAGTTTCCCATTCCCATGACGCATTGCGCTTGGGGGGGTAACATCTCCCTAACTTACTATGGGTCGAATCTGACAACAAATAGAAAATACTTTTTTGTGTTCTTTTTAACATGGAACATGTGGTTTGTAGCCTTACAGTGGCAACGCTATACTATCTGTCACCAGGGCTGTAACCAGGACTGTAATGTTCCATGTTAAAAATAACACAAAAAATCCATTCTCTACTTCTTGTCAGATTCGACCCATAGTAAAGACTCCTTGGATAGGGGGCTAAGACAAAGGCTAGACCTGTTCCCCCTGTCCAATTACATACTTTGTGATGAAGCTGAAATAAATAAATAAAATAAAATAAATAAATAAGTCAATTACTGTTGAGCGTAAAATGTCCCAACACCTCAAAATACACAGAAAAAACAAGCTGTTTAACGTCTAAAGGATATCTTGCCGCGCTATGCAACATGGGAGATTTTACCCCCAAGACGCAATGCGTCATGGGAACGGGAAACTGGTGAATACTACTCAGGTTATTGGCCTATACACGACTCGAAAACAAGAAACACCAGGTCTTGATCAGAACATCTGGTCAGTCCCTGCCTAAAGCCTCCTGCAGCCTGCATGGATCCTCCTGTGCTATTTTTATCGGGCACCGTTAAACAACGACAACACATCTACAAGACCCAACAATTTACCATATGGACAAGATGATAAAAACTCAATAAGGAATGCTGCGTTATTAGCTTGGTATTTATCGAAAATGTAAACCATGCATAGTACTGATCAAAAAGAATGCAAGACTGTAGTTTGTATATGGCCCTCACAAGTCAATAGTCCTTAGCTCAAAACCAAAACTTTCCAAGGACTAAAAATGGTTACAACAAGCAACAAGTTGCAACTAAAAACTAATATATACTAGTACTACTACTATATTATGGGGTGAACAGCTGTCTACTAGCTAAGTAGTAGTGTCACTACTACTTAGCTAGTAGACAGCTGCTGTGTTGCTAAGTGCTAAATATTGTACAGTTATAATTATGTAACTCTACTATATACTACTATACTATATTATGGGGTGAACAGCTGTCTACTAGCTAAGTAGTAGTGTCACTACTACTTAGCTAGTAGACAGCTGCTGTGTTGCTAAGTGCTAAGTATTCTAGTTATACACTTCACAGTGTCTCATCTTTTCACGTCCAAGCCCGCTGGACATGTTGTCTGCAGATGTATCAAAATACCGCAAAACGATGAGCAGTAACCCTCCTAATCCTCTCAAATATTTATCAGCGATCAAAGGCATGAAAATCTAAGGGTCGAAAACTTCCTCCTAAACTAGGAGCTAAGCTCATATAAGTACAGGGTTCTCTAAAATAGGGAGATCATTCGGCAATGGTGTTAAAGGCATCCAATGCAATTTCAGGGCAGCAAAATTGGAAATATTCTGAATAAGGCAATCTGTATGATATTAACACATACTGCCCCATATTAGCATGTTTGAATCGGTATTTCATATAAGGCATTGAAAACTGCAGAAACAAGCCCCAAGATTAGTCCTTTATTTTCAGGGTGGTACCCTAAAAATCAATCCAGGTCCTTCCAGTAACCGTTTTCGTCAGAATTTTGAGCATTTTTGCTCCATGAATGTCGATATACACTGGGACATTGTTGTGTCATCCTAGTATGTAGATAAGTAACTAGAATATTGACTTTGAAAAATCTGGTTCCCAAGCCCTAAAAACTGCACGGAATCCCTGACGCGTGACCACTGACAGACTGACCGCCACGAGCACACCGGACGTTTTCTTGACCGGTTCTGTCAGGGTCTGTCTGTGTCCGAAAACGAGCCGGTGTGAACTGGTAACGAACCGTGTCGACCTCCGCGAGATTTCAGACGAGATTTGCGACGTGATGAGTTGACCCCTGACCTTTTGGGCCCTACCCCGCGGCGATACAAAAACTCCGGCCTCGCCAGGGTGTCGGTTTGATAGATGTTACAGTATCTTACCCTCCATCCATTTATGGGAGGAAATAGAAGATAATGTTTAAATTTTTCCAATGTCACGGTCAAGAGTGACACGTAGTTTTCATCTACTCTATTTTATTTTATTTGTCCAGGGAATAGTTTTCATAAAATGAACACATCATGATAAAATAACATTGTAAAAATATGCCAAAATTGCAAATCAACTTGAGTACAAATTTATATCAATGATGCGTCATCTAAAAACGGCAAACTGAAGATTTCCCTCACACTTCTGTCGTATATCGGTCTCCAAGCAGATGGAGTGTCAGTCTACTAATTCAGTGCAGTTTCTCACAGAAACGCCCCTTGCGACCGGTGCAGTTCATGCTTCTGGCTACAGTAATCTCCAAGCAGATCATACAGTGTCAAGGCAGTATTCATTGGCCAGATTAGTGTCCATTAGCCACCAAAGCCAGGCTAAGTTTCTCGCATGTTTGAAATATCTTAAGCAGGCAAATTAGAGAAGGAAGAATGGCAACAAGATATCCGAGATTTCTTTTATATGAAAAAAAAGTTAACTATACATCAGAGTGATACGCTCTGTCGCATCTGTTAGTGTAAAACCGTGTCTTAGTTAGATACAAATGAAATGTATCTAATGTTATGTACAGACCGACTTTAAGCATGTTACACCCAAAGTACTTACGGTAATACTTAATAATACAGACTTCAATGATTAAGACTAAATCTGAAAGTAATATATGATAATTAGAGTAAATTTAAACATGCACTACATTTCCATACATACAAAAGCTACCTATATATGTATTGTCTATTCAGAATTAGTCTTAGAGAAAAACAAAATTTTAAATCTAAAACACTAGAAGAAGAACCCAAACAGGAAAACGCCGACAGTGATACAGAAGATGGCGTTGATGTTCAGGACCCTCCTCCAGAACGGGTCTTCTTTGATGGTAGGCATGGCCTGCTGTGATTGGTCAGCCTCTGATGACGTAGTCCCGCAGATAAAGTCGTAAACACGAAGCCACTTCGGGGGCGCCTCATCTGTGGATATTTGAATTATGAGACAATTGAATAAAATAAAACATTAACCCAATGCCCGGTTTTACAAAAGTCAGAAGCAGATCAAAAGTCTGTTCTGTATCTGTATAGCCGGTATAACCTCCCTTCGACGTAACACACCAGCTTCGCAGGAACGCGGCGCGGCGGCAGCTAGCTATATTACACCGAACGACTTGTTACACCTAATCTTTTTTTTTTAATTTTTATTGGTATTTCGAAATACAAAAACATGTACAGACAAGACATGAACAAAGCAAAAAGTAATAACGTAATGGTAACAGAGAAATAATCCACGGATCCAAAAATACAATCGAGATAAAACAAGGATAACAGCAGGGAAAAAACCTCGAAATAATAGTACTTGATCTACTATAATACAGATGACAGAACAATATGAATATACAGTAAGATGAAACTTGAAATAATAGCAACCAAAGTCAATAATATATATATATATATATATATATATATATATATATATAGTAATACTAA